ATCTACATGCACCTTCCCAGCAGCCTCCAGGTTCGAGCTGGACTGAGTCACTGGGGCCGGGCTCGGCCGAGTGGACACAGAACCGTCCCAGACTCGGCGACGGCACTGGTCCATGAGCCCAGAGACCCCCCCCCCCCCCCATCTATGACACTTCCTTCCTCCCGTCTTCTGACGTGGGCCTAAATGCCACCTGCGCAAGGGGGCTGGAAAGACACCTCCTGGTGGCCTGTGAGCAGGTGGCTCCTCATCCATGTCTTCTAGGGCCTCCCCGGCCGCTGGCCTCCCTTCCCGGCTCCACCCACTGTCACCTCCACCCACCTCGCCCCGCCCACTCCACAGTGCTAATCGTGGTGGTTAGCCGAGGCCTGGAACATTTGCCCTGAGAGGTCCCTTTGGGGCCTGAGCGAGGAGGGGCATCCTCAGCTGTGGACCGGGAGACCACAGGGACCTCCCGAGGTTGCTTTTAGCTGTGGTCAAGCGCGGGCAGCCCGCAGGGCAGGGCAGGGCAGGCCCAGCTGCCTGTCAGCAGGAAGACCGTGGCGTCCCCAGAGCAGCCGCGCTCTGCTGTCCCTCTGGCATGCCCGCGCCTGGGCCGTGATCCACCGTCCTGCCGCGGCAGCGGAGGGGTCAGGCAGCTCTGGCTCAGTCAGCGTCTCTGTGGGAGCTTTTCGGCCGGATTTCAGGTCTCGGTCGAGCGGGAGTCAGTGACCCAGGACTCGGGCCAGTGTGTGGGGCGACACACACCGGCCCTGAGTCCTGTGCCTGCTCCCAGCCTCGACGGGCGAGGCTGAGGTGTCCCCAGCTGGTGACCCTCGCAGCCCCCACTGCGCAGGGACTGTCACTGCGGGAAGGGCCTTGGTTCGTACCATCTGACGTGCTTTTCCCAGCCACTGCCCTGCGCCGCCGCCGCCGGCGCTGCAGACTCACCGAACAGACTGAACCCCGGGGTCCTCGGGGCCAGGGCGAGCGCCCACACACAGGAGCGCCCAGGGGGCAGCGGAGGCCTCTGGGCCACTCTGGTCGGGGAGTCTGCGGCTGCGCGGTTCGAGGACAGGAGCGGGCTGTGTGCTGCTGTGGCGCCAGCCGAGGCCCTGGGCGAGGGCTGGGAGTGGTGGCGGGGACGGGGCCTCCTTACAGCCGGGGCAGGGGCAGGCTGCGCGGCCCAGGGTGTCCTTCTCTGGAGAACGGCCAGCTCACCGTCAGGCTGGAGACCCAGGGCCACTGGCCAGGGCCAGAGCGGGGCGGCAGGCCAGCTGGGACCACCAGGTGTAGGGAGAGTGGGGAGGGGGCACATAGGAGTGAAACATGGGGGTTTCCTTTCTCTTTAACACCAGGAAGCCCCTCAGACTGCAGGCAGGAGCCGCGATATCCTCTCCGGGAAGCGGAGGCGTCTGCAGCCACCCGGAGAGTTAAGTGTAGGCTTCCCCGAATCTGGCCCCGGTCCCGCCCCTGCTGCCGAGTTCCAGTGATTCAGGGTTTGTTCCTTATTTTTTTTCTGAGAACGGTTATGTAACGCGAGTGTTTTTCAAAGGCTCCGGCTGACCGTGGCTCTGGTCGCCAGCCCCCCGCCGTGGCACCAGGAACTGCCTGTTCGGCGGTGCTGAGGTTGTGCGCGGAGCCAGCCCATCTGGAGACACCCACGGGGCCTCCCGCCTGCGTGCTCGCCAAGGCCCTCACCGCGGCCGCCGCCGCAGGCGGGTCCCAAGCCTCTTCCCCACGGGCCAGACGCAGACAGGGCCGAGTCCTGTGGACAGCTACCCCCGCGCTGGTGGATGGGAGTGGGCGGGTGGGGGGGACAGGCAGGGCGGGGCTTCTGCAGGGACCCCAAGGGACCCTCAGTCCGGAGACGGCCTCTCATGGCTCCTGTGGAATCACACCACCTGTCCGCTGGGACCCACCTGGCGTTTGTACCGACGACCCGGGCGCTTAGGAACAAGGGGCCTTAGAAATCGCCAGAGAGACCTGGGGGGTCAGCGCCCACGCTGATGGAGGCACGGGCCAGACAGAAAGCCATGGGCACAGCCGGGTCGTGACCTCCTCCTTTGCAAAGTCTCGCTGGGGACGCAAAGGGCACGGCCGTCTCCTGCCCTGGGTGTTGCCCACGTTTGTGAGGTCTCCCCGCCCCCTCGCCCCCCCCCCCCCCGAGGCCCTGAGCTTCCAGGGCCGAGAGTGGGTCTGGTGGTTTGGGAGCAGGGCAAGTTCTTTTCGTGACGGGTCTTAGGAGAGGGGCTCCTCGCTCTGTGTTCTCAGGGCGACCCCCTGAGAAAGAGCTCCGGACCCCACCTGCTGCTTTGTTTGGATGTGGGAGCTGAAAGGCGCCTTCTGAAACCGTCTGGTTGGACCCTGTCATCGGACAGACGGGAGGCTGAGTTCAGACGCGCCCGAGATCCCCCGGGTGGTAAACCACAGGGCCGGGCTGGCACCGGCCCCTGGCGCGTCTCGGCGAACAGGTCGTGTCCGTACCTGCCGAGGGACACGGGGCTTGTGGGCGCCCGGCCAGGGTCTCAGGACCTCGGAGCGGCCGCCCCGTGTTGGCCCAGGTGGCTCCCGATGCCGCTGGCGCTCGGTGGCCTTGGGGCTGATCTGCAGGAGTCGGGGCGCGGACACCTCTCTGGGCGTGCTCCTTCCTCCGCGGGAATCACGCGGCCAGTAACTTCGCAGGAATGTCTGACCGTGACGCCCCGACATGCAGCCCCCTGGCCGGCCCTCAGGTGCAGGCGAGGGCCCCGGCGGCGGCCGCCGGCCCCTCTGTGTGTCCTGTGTTTGCACTCTCTGGGGTCCCCCAGCTGCGTCAACAAAGAGGTTTTGTTAAGCCCGAGCGTCAGAAACGCTGACCTGGCAGGACGGCGTCCGATCCGCACGCACCGACCCCTCCGGGCAAGGCTGAGACGACGCGAGGAGGCCGGCCTCGTTCTGCCAGAACGCACACGTCGGCTGGCTGTGAACAGCGTGAATTCTGTTATCTCGTGGGGGAGTGTTGGGGTGCGTGGCGGGGGAGCTGTAAACAGGACCCCCACTATACAAAGCGCAGAAGTGCCAGCCTGTGGGCTGACCACGTAGGGTGCGGGGGCACTCGACACTTTGTACTTCCCACACCCACGGCTCGGTTACGCCTAATCGAGAAGTAACTCTTCAAGAGAAAGTTAGTATCGTGGACTGCCTGGGGAACGACGTTGAACCGTTCAAACCCTCACCCGCCCGTCCCTTCCCCTGAGGTCTCGCCGTGCCGAGGTTGCGCAGTTTCTGTGGAAAGCCCTCTGTCCGTCGTCCCAGCCTCTGACACCGAGCGGGTGTGTGTCCTGGTGCAAGCACCCCCAGGAGGCGGTGGAGGGACTCGGAGCTAGAAGTGGGGGGCCCTGGTTGTCTGGCCCTGGGCAGGAGGCGTGACCTCTCTGACCCTCAGTATCCTCTTCTGAGCCCCGGGTGACACCCCTTGCCTTGCGTGGCCGAGGGGGCTGCTCTCGGGCCCCAATGAGGCCACAGGTGGCAGATGCGAGGACAGCCCAGTGGCAGTGAGCGCCGGCTCCGCTCCGACACCCTCCTTTTTTGTGATCCACCTTTGACTTTCGCCTGCATTTCTGATGGGGGCGGGGGGTAGGGAGGGGGGCCCCAGGAGCTGCTTTGAGGGTCACTTTGGGGATGTCCCCACACCTGGGGCTTTTCTCTGTTGTCCCGATGCTCTCCCGACGCGTGACGTCGTCAGCCCGACACTGGGATGTCACCTTCCCCAGAGTCCCGACACCCCTCTACGGGGCGTGTGCCCAGGTCTGGGCTGTAGTGGGGGCGCGGGGGCGCAGGGACGAGCCCAGGGCGCCGCGCCGTCCTCGGAAGAAACCGCATCTTCAACGCCTCTCGCTGCCTCGCCCAGTGACCTGCCCACCCGGCACCCGGGGTGGTCAGGACAGCCTTCCAGACAAGCGTGTCTGGGAAAGCCACAGAGGGTCTGCCTGCACCACGCCACTGACCGGTCAACTCACGTTCCCGGGGAGACCCGGGGTCCCCGGGAGGTTCAGATGCGAGGCCAGGGCCAAGACTGTTGAAACCCCCCAGCACTGGAGAGGCTGGGCCTGCCCCTGCCCAGGGAAAAACCCCCACGTTCCGCCGACTAGGTGTGGGAGTCCCTGCGGCTTTGGGGGCGGGGCAGACGCAGACGCAGTGCACCTCACTTTCTCAGGGGTCACTCTTCACGTAGAGGTTTGGAGACGGCTTGGGACGGGGGCGGGGCTGGAGGCCGTGCGTGCCACCTGGCAGCCCGGGAGGGAGCCGGCCGGGGGGGGGGGGGGGGCAGACCTGGGCAGGTGAAGCGGGTGCGGGGAGGGGTGCACGGAAACCCCCAACGCCGGCGGACATAAAGACCCAGTGCAATGCGGAAGCTTCTCGTGTGCGTGGGCTGGTGGGCTCGGCGGGTGGAGGGGAAAGGACGCCTTTGCTGTGGACGTGGCGAGGCTGTGGCCTGAGCCCCGCCCCCCGCCCCATGCCCCTCCTCCGGCCACTCCGGCAGCAGCGTGACTGTTCACTCCGCCCAGCCGGCCAGCCCCCCGCACCCCCTTGCGGCCCCCACATCTTTCCCGGGAAGACACGCCGCCTCGGGCACGTCCTCCGGGGTCTGTGTGACGTCAGGGGGGCCCCTCGTGCTGCCTGTGGGCCGCTCCCCAGAGATGGGCCTCCCCCCCACTCCCGCCTCCCTCTGGCTCCTTCCCTTCCCGGTTCTCCGTCCCCGTCTCTTCTCCCTGCTCCTCCCCCGGGGGACAGGTGACCGGGGACGGAGACTCCCGTTCTGAAGGGAACAAGGGGGGCGGTCAGGATTTCTGAGGGGGGCCACCGCACCGTCGCCCCCCCTTGTACCCCCTTGGCCATCCGCACCCCTGCGTCACGGCTGATACCGGAGAGCGTCGGGGAGGGGCGGCAGCACACACGGGGAGCCGGGTGCAGCCCCTGCGTGAGGCAGACGGGCGCCCGAGGGCCACCGTCACTGACCACGCGCTCTGTTTCCGTCCTAGGACCTGAGCGCCTTCGCCATGCCACTCCTGGATGGGGACCTGGAGAGCTCAGAAAAGCTCTCTTCTCGCAAGGTAAGGCCACCTTCCTCACAGCTCACCCGAGGTGCCACCGAGGCGGGACTCCCTCAGCAAGGGCCCAGGATACACTTCTACCTGTGCATCCCGCCTGTGATCCCCCCTGTGATCCCACCTGTGTATCCCACCTGCAATCCCACCTGCGCTCCCACCTGCACAGCCACCTGTGTTCCCACCTATCTTCTCACCTGTGTTCCCACCTGTGCTCCCACCTGCGTTCCCACCTGTGATCCCACCTGCATTCTCACCTGTGCTCCCACCTGTGCTCCCCAGCTGCATTCCCACCTGTGCTCCCACCTGCACTCCCACCTGCAGGTCCACCCTCCACCCGTTCCCTGTGTCTGGTGGTCTCCTGGTGCATCCTGGAGACAGGGCCGGGGGAGCCGCATGTGCGGGTGGCGGTGGAGGGGCTGGAGGGGAGGGGCTGGAGGGGAGGGGCTGGAGGGGAGGCCTGCAGACTCGGCTGCGCCCGGCCTCCCCACCCCCGCTGCCGCCCCATCCCGGGACGGCGGGCACGGTGCCCTCGGGCTCCAGCGCCGTGGCGGGTCTGCTTTGCATTCGCCTCCAGACCCCTCGAGTCCCGGGTGGGCCAGGCCTGGGCGAGCTGCGTCCCTCGTAGTACTCCCGGTCACCTTCCCAGCCCCGTGCCTCAGCCCAGGGTCCTCGCTGGACGGGCGAGGACACGGGAGCTCACCCGCCACACGGCCGGGAACCGAGCTGGGCTCGCAGCCGCAGCCTCTGTCTCCAGGGTCCTTGCCCGGACCGCCTGCTGCAGGCCCACCTGCGTGCCGGCCACCCCACCACGTCCCCAGGCCCACGCCGCCCACCACTCAGGGTGGGGCGTGACGGGGGGGTGGACGGAGGCCGAGAGCCACTGGAAGTGCTGTCCCCACCGGTGAGCGAGCGTGCACTTGGTGCCCTCGAGGGAACCCGGAGCCCAGCTCGAGGGCGCCCTCTGGTGGTGGAGGAGCTCACAGGGGTCATGGGTCCAGGCAGGCACCCGGCGTGGGCCCCGAGGCTGCTGCCCCTGGGCCTGTGCGCCCACCTGCCTGCCCAGCACGCCTCCGGTCACCAGGGTCTCAGCGCGCCGGGCGGGTCCCCGCCAGGCCTTGCCCTTGCTCCAGGAGCCCCGGGGACACGTCATCCGTGCAGTGAGCCTCAGAGGCGCCTGGCCCTGGTCCCTTTCCTCCTGGCCACTGCCAGCTGCCCCCCCTTCCTAGGCCACTGTGGCGTGGAGGTGGGCACGCATCCCTCCCAGCGCGGGGCCCTCGGGGGCAGCCGGGGCCCCTGTGTGCAGACCGCAGAGGCCTGCTTCCTCCGGGGAGGCGGGCAGCGCCCTGTTCTGGGGTGTTGGACCCGGTCTCCAGGACACAGACCTGCAGGCAGGTTGGGGGGAGGGGACGTCATTCTGAGCCGTGTCCACTCCCTGCCCGTCCTCCCCTCCCCCTCCCCCTCCAGGAAGTCCCTGCGGGGAGCCGGGCAGAGGTCACAGCCTCTGGGTGGTGCTGGCCGGCCTGAGGGCGGGCTGATTCGGGGTCCGGCGCTTTCCCCAGACCACGGCGGCCGCCTCTGTCTGTCTGTAAAGGAGCTCTGCATGCGGACGGGGGTGGGGGGAGCTCTGCAGAGAGAGAGAGGGGCTGTCTCTCAGGCGGGGCGCCGTGGAGGAGCGGCTCGGTGACCGGGGCAGGGGGGGTGACGGGGGGGGGGGCACTGCAGGGACAGGTCCGGGGCGGGGCCGAGGCCGCAGTGCGCCCACCCGTGTGCCCACCCGTGTGCCCATCTCTCCGCAGGCGGACAGCCCCTTCGGCTCGGTCAGCCCCTCCAAGGGCTTCTTCTGCAGGGGCACCCAGCACCGGCCCTCCAGCCCCGTGTCGGCTCCCGTGCGGCCCAAGACCAGCCCTGGCTCCCCCAAAACCGTGTTCCCGTTCTCCTACCAGGAGTCGCCGCCGCGCTCCCCCCGCCGCATGAGCTTCAGCGGCATCTTCCGCTCCTCGTCCAAGGACTCCTCCCCCACCTCCAGCTCGTCTACCTCGCCGGGGGGCATCCGGTTCTTCTCCCGCTCCAGAAAAAGTAAGGCATTGATGCTAGTCTTCAGGTGGGTGCCGGGCTGCCGGGGCCCTTCCTCTGGCCGCCGGGCCCCCGTGCCCCCTGCAGGGGCAGCGAGGGCGGCCGGGCGGCCGCAGGCGGGTGCCCAGCGCCTTCATCTGCATCTGTCCTCGGGAGCAGGTCTCTCTCCGGGACGGTGCTGGTTCCGCCGGCCAGGCAGCTCCTCCCTACACTAACCCCTCACGTGCGGCCTTGGCCGTGGGGTAAACTGTGCACGTCTGACTCTTGGTGAGGCCTTGGCCTCCAGCCTTTTCTCAGAAGCAGCAGCGGGGGCGGCGGCAGCGTGAAGCTCAGGTGTGTCCCCTGCCCGGGGCCCGAGCCCCGGGCCCAGCCCTTGCTCAGCTCTGCCGATGGCCCCGGAGCCCACGGTCCCGCGTGGAGGGGTTCGAGTGGCGTCCTTCCAACAGACGGAGTGTGTGTAGGAGAGCGCTCCTTCGGATCCCGAGTGTTTGTGGTGCAAGTGCGGAGCCGTCTCAGTGCAGCACCGTCGACGGTAACGGGAAGCACACCAGGCGAACTCTCGGGTTTATTTTCTCCCCTCCTCTTCCTGACTGTTTCTGCAGACACAGGGAGTGCCTGTTGGGGATGGTGGGGGTTTGGACGGCGTGCCCTCGGGCAGCAGAGGTTTGGGGCGTCTTCCTTTATTCCCGGGCCGCGTGGGCACGGTGAGCCGCGGTCAGTGCGGCGTGACTCTCAGTGAGGCCAGGCCGCAGGGGGCAGTGCTGATCTCTGCGGCTGGTGAGGAAGGGCGGTTGTCTCTGTCTCTCCCCTTTCTTCCCTTAATTCATTGTGTCGGCAGCAGCCCTGTTTCCAAGTGAGGTCGCGTCCTGAGGTCCCTGGGGAGATGTGACGTTGGGGCGGACACCTCGGCCCAGCGCACGACGGGTTGGGCAGGAGCAGCCGCGGTCTGCCGTTCGCATCCCGGGCTGGGATGCAGAGGGTCAGCGGGCACTGGGCGGCCGGCCTGGGGAGGAGCAGAGAAGACATCGAGTCTGGTGGTCGGGGGGAGCCCGCGGGTGGGCCAGTGGGCCGGGAAGATGGGCCTGGCACTCCATGCCCGGGAACAGTGGCCCACCCTCCCCGTTTCTGTTCAGTGGTTGCAAGGGCTCACCAAGGTCCTGGGCCGGAGAACACCCGGTTCCCGACGTCTGACTCGTGAGGTGCTCCGGAGAGGTGATAGGTGATAGGTGATATAGGTGATAGGTGATATAGGCGATATAGGTGTAGGCGGTTTGGTGAGGCTTTCCTCCACCTTCGGGGGAGGCGGCTGTTGGCAGGGCTCCGGAAGGTTCTGGAATGGCTGGCTGCTCATCGCAGGGAGTGTGGATTAGGCTAGGGAAGGCTGGCCCAGAACACCGGCTCGTGCTCTCACCCTGGAACCACAGAGCCCAAGACCTTGACTTTCCCTAAAGGGAAACCCACCCGCCCCACCCTGTCGTGGGCCATGTGGGGAGGTCCAGACCCGTGTCCAGCTGGAGTGCACCCCACTTCCCTGGGCGGGGGGGCCGTTGGGCTCCTGGCCACGTGATTCTGTCATCGTGTGTGGCCTTGGCGTGCGTGCAGGGCACACAGTCTCCCTGCCCATCCTGGACTTCGGTCTGTTCCTGGATGGAGACGTCCAGACCACCTGCGGCTCCTGCTGCCCCGGAACTGGTTTCGTGCAGTCAAGCTTGAGAGCAGTGCCGTCGGCCTGTGAGAAGGGTCTTCTTGCAGCCTGAGAGACAGCCCTTGACCCGCCGCGCCCACCACGGGGATGTCGAGAAGACACCGTTTGTTACCCGAGGCCCCGGGGGGACTCGTGTCCGGCCCGGACACCAGGACTAGCCGGGCTCCTGAGCACCGGGGCGGTCGCGTCTGCAGCGGATGCTCACCGGGGAACGGCCTGGTTTCCCCTGTCAGGGTGGGCTGCTGGGGACCGCAGAACCACGTCTGTGGGCGGGGCCACGTGGGGCGCCTTGGCAGCCTTCTTTCTGAACTCATTTTCCGTCCCTCTCACTTCCACGCCACTTGGCTCAGCAAGAAGCCAATTTTGTCAGGTCCGCCTCGGTCCTTCACGGGCAGCCCCGCCCTACCCCCTCGCCCCGGCGGGCAGGACGGCGCCCGCTCAGCCTGGGGTCCCCGTGAGTCCCCTCCAGGGTTCTTTCCTCTGCTCTCCCTTTGCCCCCCCAGGAGCCAAGCAGGGCCACACGCCACTTGTCCTGGAGATCGTAGGTGTGGACGCCTGGCTTGTAAGTGCACCGGCAAGGCGTGAGCCAGCTCTGAGGCACCGGCTGCCTCGTCTCCATCCCCTATCCTCATGCCCCTCCACGGCCATCTGACCTGGGGGCCCCTCCACGGCCATCTGACCTGGGGTGCTACTCAGAATACGCACCAGCCAGGGGGGCCTGGCACCGGCCCCTGGGGACAGCACGGGGGGTTCTGGCCTCGGCACCAAAGGCTCCATATCCCTGAGGTCACCTTTCGGGGTACGCGTGTTGCTGGGCGTGGGCTGACCGGATGTCCCAGAGGCCTCTGGGCCACGGCTGTCCCCTGACGGCTCCAGAAGCGGTTCCGTCTCTGTGGCTGGCCCGGCCGTGCTGGCGCACCGCCCGCTGGGCACCGGCTGTCCCCCATCCCAGCACCGCGCTTGCGAGCGCCAGGTTCTCGGGGAAACACAGGCCCTTTCTTTCCCTCCGAACCATTCTCGCTCCGAGACTCAGTCCGGGGCCAGCAGGGTCTCGGCAGGGACACGGCAAAGGGACCTCGCTCTGCTCCCCCTCCTCCGGCACCTGCGTCGTCTCCCGGGTGGGGCGCCTCGGTCTCCCGGGTGGGGTGCCTGCCGTCTCCCGGGTGGGGCGCCTGCCGCCGGGCAGCGGGGCTGCGGCGGGAGAGCCTGCTTGGAGGAGAATGGAGAGCAAACCACCCGGAACAAGGAGTCCTGAGAGGCCACCGCTGAGTCCCTGCGAGGAGGAGGCAGGTTTCCGGAAAGCGACCTTGGCCGTGGCCTCAGCCCCCGGCGCACCCTGTCCTGGCCGCCCACCTCGCGGGGTTTTACTGCAGAACCCCCTTCGACAAGCGTCCTCCCGCGGCAAAGGGAGCCCGGCTCCCGGAACGGCGGTCGTGTCGCCATGGTGACGGGGGCAGACCCAAGACTCCGCTCCGCGACCGGCGCTGCCCCTGCCCAGGCCCCGCCCGGGTGGGGGGGGGGCCCCACGCCCTTCCCAGAAGACGCGGGTGAGGGCTGTGTCACAGGTGTCGCAGAGGAAGGGGGTGCAATCGGGCCTGAAATCGCTGCTTATCACAGTCGCCGGAGGAGTGGCCCTCCCTGTGGGCTCTGTACGTGACAGTCAGTCAAAGCCATGGCCGTGGGTGAGGGAGGCCCCGGTGCCGGCAGCCTCCAGTCCGGGGGGTCGTACGGGAGTCGCCGTCAGGTTCTCCGCCCAGGGCTAGCGGGGCAGTGAGGCAGGACGAAGAATTCATTTCAGGCACTGTTACACAGACTGTGAAAACACAGTCTCAGTTCATCCTTACGGTAACACTTACGGGTTGAAGTGTGAACCCTCAAAAAAGAAAAGGCATTGGCATTCTAACCCCTGGTGTCTCTAAATGTGACCTGGTCTGGAAGTAAGGCCACCCACTGTAGGTGTCGTTAGTTGAGATAGAGTCAAACCAGAGTGGGGGTGGGGGCTGGGGGCTGATTCAGTGTGACTGGTGTTTTATAGGCGGATGGCAATGTAGGGAGGATGCCATGTGACTTCAAACGTAAGGACTGGCGTGACGCGTCTACAAACCAAGGACGCTGAGGGGTGCCGGCAACCATCGGAAGCTGGGAGAGACCAGGTCCTCCCCTATAGGTGACAGGTACCTGGCCAGGCTCAGCCAACTTTGGCTTTTTCTGCCCTTCCTGGCCGAGTGACCACTAGGGGGCGACGTAGCCTCACTGCTGAGCCTGGTGCGGGCCGTAGGTGGGCCTGCCCCGGGGGACAAGGAGGAGACTCCCTGTCCCTCCCTGCCTGGTGTGTCCAGCCCGGGACATTTGCCTTTACGTGCACCTGCCAGACTGATGTCACAGAGGTGACATGTCCACCTCAAGCCTGACCAGCCTGCCCAGGTCTTTCAGGTCGCCGCATGCTGACCGCATTTGCCCAGAGCTGCCAGGGACTGGGACACAGCCACGGGCCAGTGAGTCCCTGCCCTTGTGGGGTGACACTCCAGGGAGAGGGGACAGGGAGGAACATGCATCACGTGTGACCATGGGGCAGGGTGAGGGGGTGGTGCTGCTTCAGGCAGGGATGCAAGGGGGCAGCCAGGTGGGTGTGGGGGGCTGGACCGCCCGGCCCGGCGGGGGTGGGGAGGCTGGTGCACATGCCTCGAGCAGGGACCCCTGTGGGCCTGCAGGCGGCAGCCCAGGGAGGTGCGGCCAGGGAGCTGGGTGCGGCCTTGCAGGCCAGGGCAGGATTTCACGTTTTTGTTGAGCAGTCGGGGAGCCCGGGATGGGGCTACTGAGGGAGCGACATGCACCCGGAGGGCCCATGTGGCCTCCGTGCGGTGACCGGTGGTGGAGCTGGACGTGGGCGAACCAGTGGGGGCTGCGGGGGTGGCCTGGAGACCCAACACGGTGGTCTCCCACCTTCATTCAGACCCCCTCGCGCCCCGCCTTCTCCAGAAAGCCCTGGCCAGGCGGCTCAGCTGGTTGTCCCTTCTGTTGCCGGTTTGATCCCCGGTCAGCACACACACAAGAGGCAGCCGATCGATGTTTCCCTCCCTCTCTCGTCTTTAACTTTTTTTCTAAAAAATCAGTAAACAATTCTGGAGTGAGGATTTTTTAAAAGGGGGCATCTGCGTGGGCTGCACTCCATACCGGTGGCCGCTACTGACGGAAGTCTGCCCCGCTGGGCCCTGGGACGCCACCTCTGTCCTACAGAAGAAAGGCCTTGAAAACTGCTGACCAGAATGGCCAGCTGCTCTGATTACACCGAGGGCTG